TGAGACATCCAACGGCAACAACAGTAACAATTCCATAAGTATAATTATGACGATGGGAAACAATACCGTATTTAATTGTTGAATATTATTATCAAAACTCAGTTGCAATCATCACTGAATCACTCAATTGTTTCGTTACTTGCTTACGCGGTATTTCAGTGCTAGCTGTTCTTGAAAAACTTGTTGCTTCTCAATCTAGTCATTTCATTTGTTTGATGATTGATAAGAATGTGTATTTGATACTTTATACGGAAGCAGCTGAACTCTCGTACTCAAACAAACATGAAGAGACATGAACGAATCCCCTTGAAGAGTTCATTTAATATTTTTGAATCTATGTCGTCATCACCATCGTCGCTTCATGTAACGTACTAATATCTGTTGTTAGTTATGCATGCATATTTTATGCGTTGATCTTGATCGAATGCGTAAACAGACTCAACGATACATCAAAAAACAATTTCGTATTTCAGTGGGAACGATCACTCGATTCGCTCATGAACGATTGTTTTTTAGATAAAGTTTTGAATTTGTACATCATAAGATATAGATGATTATGATATCTCATCTTTTTGTGATGAGCGTGCAGAAATCAGCGTATGATTGCATTACGGATTCTGACTATGGAAACTCTCCTCTCATCAGTACGATTCGACTAGTTGTGACAGTAATAACAGTAACAATGCAGGTAGCTAGTGACAACGAGGATATCAACTTATCCGAATAACCATAGCTATGATAACTGAATTACCATATGATGAATATGTGTGCAGCATGTTACCAAATAATATAAGGTGCGTAGGTGATGAAAGGTAAATGGCTATAGTGATTGAACAATCATGATTATCGTGGTCAAATGATCGTGTACAGCCATGTCTGTGGCACTTGAGAGAGCACGCTTATGGTTTTCAAGTACCCAGATCTATGATAAATAATTGACTATGAGTTCGGAAAGAAATTGGTTNAAGTGTTTCGACTTACGTGAACATATCACTGGGTCTGAGCATACCGCCGGCGGCCATATTAACGTTTTTAACATCCATCTCGGCCAGAGCCGCTTGTGCAGCTCGGGCTTGGAAGAGTGGATCATCGAAGGTGCCGAATAGAGTATTCGTCTGGAAATTCTGAAATGAAGCTGAATTATGGAAATGTTCGATTCTGATTTCTATGATAAGATCATCTTTTGATCTGCTATAATGAATTATATTGTTCCATCAAAACAAAACCATGATGAATGATCAATTCTCCGAGAAGTTTTTTGTGATAAATGTTCGAATTGATGACTTGCCCTATTCAGTAGTTGAGTTCGATTCTTGGACAGCGTACAGGCCGTAAGGCATATTGTGTAATCAACTAAATTAATGAGAAGTGAATAGGAAAAAGTGCTCTGACTCGTTGTGTTGTTATTTTGAGTGATTTTTTGCTTTTTATTGGTGTTTCCTTGAATGAGACACTGATATGACAGTTTGCAAAGTGACTGATAAAAGTTTTCAAGAATTGGAGACGTATTATTGGTATCAGTCATAAGTTCGCTCTTCACAATATTGACTTATGCTCTTCACAATTCACACATATTAACTGAGTTATGTTGACAATTTGTTGCTTCGCGATACTTTTGCAACAGTTTTTGTTCAAAGTCAAAAACTGAGAAGCATTTCACTTTTGAAAAGCTCTATCCTGCCAATTTTGAGGCCAAAGCATCTTCTCATCTACGTCCACTCATTTAGCTCTTTCAGAAAATACTATCGAAAAAATTCCTAGAATTGAAATGAACTCTTACAATTTTTTTCCGGATGAATCGCCCCAATACGCCTCCTACTGAATTTATCATCAGGACCCTTCAATGCATCAGTTTTATTGAGAGAATGAATCACTGACCCATTCCGGAGTATAATCGAATGGAACAGATTAATGTTATCAGTCATCATTTAACTCAAAATTATTCGTTGATCAAATCGAGACGAACAATAGAAATGAACATTCGAGCGAGTGAAGATGAAGATGTGATAATGAGGAACGACTCTTCGTTGGAAAAATGTTTCGAGAATTGGAAAAAATCTCGAAGTAAAACAGGTGGATCGAAGGCAATTGGATGAATTTCATGTTCTTATGCATCATTTCACATTCGATGCATCTTGCTCTTGTGAGAAATATTCTCATTCTCAATTATTGTTGTTGGTTTGAAGTGACAGTCATCAAAAAATGGTGATCACCTTTTGAAAGTAATGATTCAAATCTTCATGGCGCAATTCTAAAATGAGTTAATCAACTCTGATTTTCAGCGACAATTACGCGTTGCAGCCTAACAGTGAAAATATCGATAACCTTATAGTGATTAAGAAGAACTAGTGTATTAAAATAAAAGTAAGAACAACAATATCATTAATAGTATCAGTATTAATGAATATAATAGTCATACTTATCAAAAACAATCATTTTAACAGAAATGATTCATAATGATTATGATATAATCACACAGTAATATTCTAAGAATAACGACAAGTATACTGAACCATAACTAATGGAAATTTTTTTTTGATTCTTAAGAACTATTGTGTCATTGTATGCAACAAATAGTTGAAGGTCTGAAGAAGCGATTTTCAAGCCGAACATTATCAATTGTTCAATTCAGTTTCTTGTGATACTCATTATATATTCTTTCATTTGTTTCGTTCGTTTAACCTTCTATGATCAACATTCAAAATTATGAATAAATATGAATCGATGCAATAATACAGCGATACTTTTTCGGATGTGAAAAAAATTGTGTTTCAAAAATGCATCTTTTTGTGCTCTGAACGAATGTAAATTCACATCTTCCAAATAGTTTTCAAATCCAAATTTTTCAAGAGGAGTATTCAAATGTACTTCGGTCAGCTTTAAAAGCTCTTAATAAGTCGTTTCTCTAATCGATATCAGTATAACTCATACATTACTGATAAGCATATGATAACATGTGAATACTATTATAATACGACGGGATATAACATCTTAAGGCTATCAATAGGTTCAGATTTCAACGGCAAACCATCAATATTTCATGGTTGTCAAGCAGTCTATGACTTTCTACTATCAGAAGAGTGGCGCTGATCAGAAATTGCCGATTTGACATTCATTCATTCATTCATTCATGTGTTTGTTCATAGGTGGGCCGAGAGTTCACTACTTTGACAATTTCACGTTCATGTCATCAGAAGGCTCGAGTGAGGTCGCCGTTTTTAAGTATTGCGGACAGAACATGCTCTCAACGATTCCAAAAGTACGCATAAGTTTGATCCCAAATTGTTTGTTCGAAACCTATATATTCAGATATCCTTAGATCATCCAGCACTACAGACAAGTAGAGAGCCTTTCTTAAGCACTTGATTACTAGAGCAATAATCGTTTCGTACAATGAGCACTAATAACTTTGGATAGCTAATTGTCAAGCCATGATTAAACGAACAATCAATCATCAACTTTGTGGTATCTGATGATCGTGCTGCGTCCGATGTGACTGATCGGCAACCACACTATTATCTATGCTAGTAAGGAAACGCGTATAATTTCTGCAGCAAAAGTCGTCAGTGCAAGAACTGTTATCGTTATGTTCAGTTATAACGGACAGCATTTTCTGACATTTGATACCCCCTTTACATAATACATTACATAATAAAAATAAGCCAAATTTCAGGATCCAAAATCAGAACGGAGGGGTGAAAATGAGTAGAAGAATGGAAATGTTATATTGTACGCTATCATTTTAACCATCGCACTATCGATGCATGCGAATTGGGAAAATAATCCTAGCTATCAAACAATACACAACATATCAAGGAAAAGTGGATTAAAGCAAAAAGGATGCCAGTTTAATTCAAGCAGTTTTTTNGAGTAGAAGAATGGAAATCTCATATTGTATGCTATCATTTTAACCATCGCACTATCGATGCATGCGAATTGGGAAAATAATCCTAGCTATCAAACAATACACGACATATTAAAGAAAAGTGGATTAAAGCAAAAAGGATGCCAGTTTAATTCAAGCAGTTTTTTCATTAAATGCGCACTGTTCTTCAACGAGATTATATATTACTGCTAAGAAATATTTAGCTTACTTACTGAAGAATTCTCATGAAAAAATCTTAACAAAAAAAAAACTACTCAAGGAGACTTACTCGTATAAGTTCGTTTCCATTCGAAACGTAAGCTGACTTCAGTAAGTGAAATAATTTTTTGAGGAATGGTTAATCGCTCCGATTTGGAAATTTTCTTCAAATCTTATGGCTACCGTCTTTTGATCTTAATCAATAATTTCGCATTCATGCAAAAATACTCGAAAAAAGTGTCATAAAATGTCACCTTGTGTGTTATAATCATTTANTAGAAACAGAAATTCCTATATGAACGCGGCGATCAATGTAAAATTTACATGGTATAATTACACTTCCTAATTCCAATTCATTCCATATTCTATACGATGTATATGAAACATGCTCATTTTTACTTGTATCCATTCAAAATACCAACGTTCATATGAAGTTTTTCTGATTAAAATTATTTTCCTCATCCCAAATCATTTGCTGATTCAGAATTTTTCTCATCTTAATGTTGCGATACGTTCATTGTTTCCGATATAGAAAGAAGCTTTCGTTTAGGGCCACAATCTATTCCAGAAGTTTGGTCGTAACCCGTTTAGGTCATCACAAATCGATCGATGTGGTCATGAACTGAAGCTCATCCATATTTTCAAGCACGTTTCACTTATCTGTTCTATATAAAGTTGTTAATGGATTGTGGAAGTGCAATGTGCAAGACTGGAAATCGTTTTGAATGGGTATACGGTAGTAAGAAATTATTGATTGGCTAAGCAGTGTGTTACGCGTCAAGTTAGAGGATACAAAAATGCAGCGCTAGAAACCTGCTACTGCTCCAGAAGTAATCGACACTACAGTCAATATAATGACTCGACAACGATTGAACACGTAAAGTACATTTACGAACCCTTAAAAAGCACCCTAAAACCCCGTTCTATCATGTTTCTCGTAGTATATTTCCACGTATTAATGTGAAACATCAATGTGAACCCGTTCAACCTATCATCCCAACTGTTTTCTCGAATGTATTCAAAATCCATTTAGCTCGAATGAAAAATTCTCTCTTAGACCTCGAATGATTTGGATAGGGACGAAAGGCTTCACTACGAAAATTTAACATCGCCTAATGTACGAAATCGTTTGGCGATCACAATACTGAATGATCGGCACGGAATACACATAAGAACAAAAGTGGACTGAATGAAAAGGTAATATAGTGACAAAGAATTTGAAGGAGCAATTTTCAGATAAGATTCGAAAGGAATGAATAAGATGAAGTCAAAGCGTCACGAATGGTGTCGAATGCCCAATATCTTGCCTTATATGAATAGTGGCTGGCATATAAGGAGGATATATGAACAAGAAATAATAAATGTGGTCTGAGCGTGAAGAGTCGAGGTGCTGAGTGATAAGTTACCGTTGATGAATATTTAATAAAGTATATGAATGAGGAGTTGTTCCATATGCTGCCTAGATGCAGTTTCGATATTATTCATATTTGATAACAACACATACATCATTTATGTCTACAAATACTACATACCTACAAGACATATGTCTTCGATTTACGAGCGACGTTTTATTAGATGCTCATTCAAAAAGTAACATTCTTGTATTATTCATAAAATGTAGCAACTCCTCGAACATGCTAACGCTATCAAGCACACAACAATAACAACAACATTAATTATAGATTGTCGTCATCTAAATTTGGACAATTTTAATTATTTATTAAACGTTTTGAAATAAATAAATGATAAGTAGCTAACAGTCGTAGGTGTGCAGTTAATCATCAAGTACAACATCATTTAAGGTAATTATTCATTATGAATTATAGTGCTTATTTAATATTTATATTAACATTAATATTAATCTTGATTACACACGATGGAGCACGATACCGAGACAACCACATAATGATCTATTGTCATATCATAAATAAATAACTAAGTAAATAAATAAATGAATAAATGAGTAAGTTAATAAAATATTACTGAATTGATATAAATGACTGGATGAATTGAACAAAAGTGACCTACTGGTTGCATGCGTGTACGGTATGCACTTGACGGGGAGTATGTGCCCGAGGCGATTGGATTGAGACCCGGGTAGAGGCGTTGTGGATTTTGCATTGATGTATCGATATCGGTTGGGGT